GGCCACCGACTCCAGAACTGAAGGCCATTCACTTCCCTCTGCTGTCCACTGTTTTCAACTCTAAAATAGTTAAGAGAGTAGGGTATGTTTTTGTGAGTGCTTCCCTAGCCTGCAGGGTGGCCTGGGTTTGATCACCAGTGTGGCAAGTATAAAATAAAATTATAACTTTGCAGGTTTCTTGCAAGGATCAGGTGTCATAAAGCATGTGAGAGGATGTGACAGACTTTGGGAAATAGAATGCTGCCTATGAGCTCTCAATACCGGTCATATTCAACCTCCTCTTCAGCAGCACCCTCCCTCTTTACCGCTTGCTTTCTGGATTCAACCCTCAGTGGATTTCCCCAGGCAACACACCCCTTTCCACACTTAGTAGGCTTCCCCTGGTTGATCCACCGTCCCTAGAACAGGGCTTTGCTTGATACAGTTAATTTTTCCTCATTGGTTGAATTGTTATTACTATAGGGGAAACTTGGTTAGCTGTTTCAAGCCAGCTAGAGCCATGATTTGTGCAAACTGGGTACACAGGTTTGTCTTTGCTGAAACTAGACAGAAGTATGATTAAACTGGTGTTTAATTTGGCTACTCAAATGAAAACAGAATATGGTAGCAAATGCTTCATACTTTGAGCCTTTGCTTGGGTTGAGTTAGTTGAACAAGGGCTTTAAACAGAGAGTAGAGATTTGAAATGCCGGAGCTTTACTTTGGTGTGTTTTTATTGGAAAGGAAGACAGGTTCTAGATTCAAGTTTGCCCCCCCAAACTGAAATTTATTAAGGAAAGGTGAGGAGGAACCCCAAGAGTGGGAGAAGTACTAGGAAAGGACACCCCAAGTTACTCTTGTAAAAGAATAAACTACACATGTGTTGGAAAGAAATCTGGAACGCTTGGCATGGTGGTGCATATCTATAATCCCAGCTCTTGGGGAAGCAGAGGCAGGAGGATTGCTCAGACTGGTCTATGATAAGTTCAAGGCCAGCTGGGACTTCCGTATAGACATTGCTGTAAACAAAACAAGGAAATCTTTCCCATCCCATGTTGGTCCTGTTCCTGGATTTGCTGAACTAGTAATTTAGAATTGTCTTGAAGGAATACCATCTCTCTGCCAGGGAATGCTAATGTCTACTTTAGGATACTGAACTCACAGATTTTCCTGGTTGTCTTTAAAGGCAAGCTTCTGGGTTGGCTGTGAAAATGTTTTGTTTGACACCTCTGGCAGGTGATTTCTCCAGGAGTAAACCTCACTTGGCAATTCCCTTGGGCAATAAAGGTACCCAGGCCTGTATTGTCTGTCACTGAAGCTCCAGCCTCGATCCTTTGGAGTGCAGGCTGCCGCTGCCCTCTCTCCTGATTTCCTATACATAGCCACTGATTCTGGTGGAGCAACAAGGAAGTGTTGTTTCTTGCCCATTGTGGTGAATCATGAGGCAAAAATGCTGGCGAGAAGCAATAGTACTTAGTCCAAGTATAAAGTAAGCCCTGGTTCACTGGAGGCAATGACTATGGAGAACTGGCATATTGAAGTGGAAAACACCATACACGGCTTAGATGACCTAAGGGTTAAGAGCTCATACTGCTCTTGTAGAGGAGCCAAGTTTGGTTCCCAGCACACACATGGGATGATTCATAACTGCCTACAAAGGCAGCTTTAGGGGAACTGACACCCTCTTCTGGCCTTCATGGGCAACTACATTCAGGTGCAAAACACACACACACACACACACACACACACACACACACACACACACGTTTTTCCTTGACAGGGTTTTTTTTTTTTTAATCTGTAGCTCTGGTGGCTAGCCTGCAATTCAAAGAGATCCACCTGTCTCTGCCTCCAAATCCTGGGATTAAAGGAGAATGGTACCATGCCCAGCCTTCTGCTAGCTTGATTCTCCTCTTCCCTTCAGTCTTTGAAAGCTGCCAAAGGAAGCAGTTGCCAAGTGCAATAACCCAAAGCAGTCTGGGGAGGAGGCCAGGAAAGCACAAGGAAAGGTTTCTGGGGAAAGGTGAGCCCTTTTTAGCAAGAGAAGTTGCAAATTCAGGCACCTGAGTGTAGATCGGAACCTTCCTCCTCTGGGATCATAGCTCCGGGGAGTGCAATCCCTGATGTCTTAGCTTCCTGTATTCCTTGCTTTCTATTCTCTAAGGGTGAGACCACCTGGGCATAAGCCAGTTGGGGTGGAGGGGTGCATTCCTCAGAGCTTAAAGATGGAACCCATCACAAAAAGCACAGGACGGAAAGTAAGTAGACCTTCCAGGGGCCTTTAGCAAGAGTGTTTTACAAGTGTTTAACTTGCGGGGGGGGGCTGTGGCTAACTCGGTTAACAACTGCTTGTAAATGGGAAGAGTCCTTATTCCAGGGGGCTGAAGTTCTTGAAGACGAAGGTGCTCGGATCCCCGACCTCCTGAAGAGCACGGGGTCTATCATGTTAATGGCTTGCATCTTATTAAGGACAGGACAAAGGGCCTGGAGTTTGGGAATGAGAGTTTGTATTGCAGTTCTTTAATATGGAGATGGCCCTTCTGAAGTCCTGGACTTGTCCCACAAACGTGTCCTAACCAGCTAAACAGCGTGGCATTGTGGAGGTAGGCTTGAGGCTCCCCACAGGTGTGGTGCTCCTGTCATTTTCTTTTTGGCTCCCCGATTTGCACATTAAAAAGTCGGAGAAACCAGCAGAAGAAATGAGGTTAGGTTTCAGCAACTTAGTAAAATACCAGGCTCCCCGACCACTCCTGAGGCTCTTCACACTTTCCCCTGGAGCGGGTTTAAGGGAGAGTATAAAATTCCAAGCTCTTCTCTTCAGCTCTGCTAGAGAAGGTGTTTGCGAGCTTGTGAATGAGGTGGGGTAGGGGTGAGAGAGACGGGAGAAGGGCTTTGGCGTCACTGCTGACTCGACCCTTCCTATCTCTTGGTGTCTTAGTTAGGGTCACTCTTGCTGTGATGAGACACTGACCAAAGCAACTCGGGGAGGAGACGGTTTGTCTGGCTGACACTTCCACATCACTGTTCATCACAGAAGGAAGTCAGGACAGGAACTCAAGCAGGGCAGGAACCTGGAGGCTGGAGCTGATGCAGAGGCCTTGAGGCAGCCCTCCTTACTGGTTTGCTTCCTTATGGCTTGCTCAGCCTGCTTTCTTATAGAACCCAGGCCCACCCAGGGGTGGCCGCACCCATTATGATCTGGGTCCTCCTCCATCAGTCACTAATTAAGAAAATACCCGGGCTCAGAGAGATGGCTCAGAGGTAAGGAGCTCTGGCTACTCTTCCAGTGGGACCTGAGTTCAATTCCCAGCAACCACATGGTGGCTCCCAACCATTTGTAATGAGATCTGGTGCCCTCTTCTGGCCTGCAGGGGATACATGCAGACTGAACCCTGTATACTTAATAAATAAATAAATCTAGAAAAAGAAAAAAAAAAACCCTACAGACTTGCCTACAAACTTGATCACATGGAAGCATTTTCTGAGTCGAAGATCCTCCCTCTCTGACCACTCTAGCTTGTGTCAAGCTAACATAAAACTAGCCAGTACACTTGGGGAAGGCAAAGCCTTGGAAATTAGGGTCTGGGTACAGAGAGCCTTGCCATGGCAGGAGGGGTGTGAGGTGGCCTTGCGAGTGAGTGAGAATGGGCCTGGTGGATGGAGAGCAGACTTGATGTAAAATGCATGGGCATCAGCGTGTGTTCAAGGCACAGTCAGTCCCCAAGAGGTAGAAAATGATGAGTGTGCTCATGGGTCCCCCTAGTTGGCAGGGGGCATCCCTTGATGCCATGGTGGAGTTTGTTGCTGTATAGGCAAGTTTCATACATGCAGTACTGTCTCAATGGTTCCCAGTGACCTTACTGGCAAGGAAACATTGCACCTCCCTTTTAGGGGTGCAAATGGATCATTCCCAGTCACGGTGGGGAGATCCAAATGTGGGTATCTCAGGGAACCGTTTGCCCATCTGTCTTCTAGGAATCAGGTGAAGGGCACCAACTCCACCAAGTCCTCATGCTAACCTTATCAAGTGCTCTTTGTGTCTTCCTCTTTAGTCAAGGTCATTATGGAAAATCCAGACAGTACAGTATAGAAAAGAAAAAGGGAACTGTCTCTAGGAGCTCACTCTCAGAGATACCTACTGTTGACATTTTTACATCTTCATATAAACACACATAAAAATGTCTATTTTGTGTCTACAGAATGCTATTCCTTAATATTCTGAAAGTAAATATATAGGGGTTGAATCTCTTTTTTTTTTAAGATTTATTTATTATGTATACAGTGTTCTGTCTGCATGTATGCCTGCAGGTCAGAAGAGGGCACCAGATCTCATTACAGATGGTTGTGAGTCACCATGTGGTTGCTGGGAATTGAACTCAGGACCTCTGGAAGAGCAGTCAGTGCTCTTAACCTCTGAGCCATCTCTTATTAAAAATATAGGGGGATCGGTTCACAGGGGCTCACAAAGACTGAAGCAGTCATCACAGAGCCTACATGGTCCTGCACTAGGTCCTCTGCATGTTTATGTAGCTTGGTGTTCCTGTGGGACTCTTAACAGAGGGAGTGGGGTGCTTCTGACTCTTTTGTCTGTTCTTAGGACCCTTTTCTTCATATGGGGTTGTCTTACCCAGCCTTTATATGAGGGTTTGTGCCTATTCTTATTAGAACTCGCTATGCTGTGTGGCTGTCTCTGGGAGGCCTGCTCTTTCCTGAAGGGAAACAGAGGAGGAGTGGATCTTTGGAAAATGGGAGGGGAGATAGGAGGAGTGGAGGGAGGGGAAACTGTGATTAGGATCTATTGGAAACAGCAAAAAAAAAAAAAAAAAAAAAGAAAGTCCCTCAATCGACCAGTCAATAAATAAGAATAAAGAGGCCTCTCACATCTTTGTGTATTCTGTATCCTCTGGAATAGGTTGTGTACAACAGTAAGTGAAGAAGAAATGATTAAGTTTGGGGGCTAGTTTTTTGTTTTGTTTTGTTCTGAGTTAAGCTTTCATGTAACCCAGGATGATTGCCAACTCACCATGAGGCTGGTCGTGAACTCTTGATCTACTGAATGTTACCGGATGGCTTTAAATTCCCTATGCAGCCAAGGATGATCTTGAGCTTCTGATCCCCATGCCTTCCCCACCAGATTTCGAGTGCCTGGATTCCAGGTGAGTGCTTTGTGCCTGGTTTCACATCACGCTGGGAGCAAGCATGGGGCTTCCTACATGGTAGGAAGAGCCACATCTCTTCCTCTTAGGGGGAATGGTTACTGGTATTTGTTTTGTTTGTTTCAAGACAGGGTTTCTCTGTGTAGCCCTGGGTGTCCTGGAACTCACTCCGTAGGCCAGACTGGCCTCCAACTCACAGAGACCTGACTCCTCTCTTCCAGCTTGTTCGTTTGTTTTGCACAGCATTTCCTTATATAATTACCAGCTGGTCTGAAGTTTACTGTGTATCTCAGACTGGCCTTGAACTCACAGAAACCTCCTTCCTCAGCCTACCAAATACTGGGATTACAGATGTGCTCCTCCATACCTAAGTAGATTTTTCAGTATCTACTTTAAAAAAAAAAAAGAGAGAGAGAATGAACTGTGCTGTGTGTGAGGTCCATTCCTAGTCCAATCATCTGAAGACTTTTGAGGGCTACCAGAGAGGGAGAAGGAGGAGGGAGAAGGGAACGCATGGGAGGGGAGGAACGAGTATGTTCTGTCATCTTTCTCCTTTTGCCTTCCTCCAACTTGAAGCCCATAGAATGGTTCCACTCACATCCAGGGTTCATCTTCCGTCTCCCACAGAGATTCAAGTAGAAAATAAAGATTAACCCATCAAAGCTGTCTGTCTACCCACTCACATCCATGAGGCCGCCCTTGGGAGAATGAGTTGCCTTTTCCCGTGGCCTTGAATGTGTCCTGGCACTGTTGAGGAAGAAATACCATCCCAGCATTTGTGGGGCTGGTGCAAGAGCACTTGTGGTAGATACCACTACATCTCTTGTCCCCTGCATCTCTGGGCTCCCGCAGATGGGGAGGCAGGCACCAGCACAGGTTTCGAAGCATTAGGTATCAAAATGATACCCAAAAGAAGAAGGTGCTGGCCAAGCACACAGGAAAGCTGTAACCCAGTCACTCATCTGTCACGGAGTCCCCAGCCAAGCTCACCTGCCCGCTGCACTGGCCAGTCATTGCAGCCCACTTTGGAGTGTTTCTTCTACTTTCTCCTGGGTAAATGAACCTTGACTCTTCCCAAGCAACCACTTCTGCTCTCTGCAACCACAATGGGTAGAAGAGCTTCTCCCTGGAGTATACACACACAGCACCCCACAGAAGGAGCTCTGCAGCCACCCAGGCTTGAGATCCCATGCTCAGTGTCTTCTCCAGGTGGACTATGAGCTTCTTGAGTGCAGGGGGTAGTGTTGACCCAATTTGTTGCAGAGAAATGAAATTTTATCCCTTCCAGGTTGTGTCTGGATTCCGTCTGCCAAGTGCCTCTCTGTGGTGTGTTGGCCTGTGCAGCTGTACCTGAAGGGTGGCTGCCTGTCTACTCATGCATTGTTACCTTTCTGTTGTAGCAGGTGAAGGCCACAGGCTTAGCTGCTATTGGACCACTTAGATCAGTATTTCAAATGCTGCCTAAGTATCTTATATGTAAACTAAGGGCTGGAGATGTGGCTCATGCTGTAGGATGCTTGCAAACACTACAAGGAGAGAGGCCTGCAACAGCTAACTACACTTGTTAATGCAGCCACACTGAAGTAGGAATGTAAGCTTGATTGGGCGCTTTGTGTAATAGACCAAGAGAATTGATTAACAAGTACTGCATGGTATCTTGAGCCTGTAATTCCCACACTTGGGTGGTAATGGCAAGAGAATCTTAGGTCCAAGATCATCCTCTACTACATAAGTGATGGCAAGGCCAGCCAACAAATAAAGATAAACGCCTAGTGGTTTGAATTGTGAGGGGATGAATTCATACTGTGGTAATATTCACAATAAGCGTTCACTAAACCTTAGGGATTGTTTTTACAATATTAAACACCTAGCTAACCTGGTGAAGTATTTGCAAACAACCTGAGCAGACACAGGCAAAGCTGGGAGCTCCCACACCTGCCCGGTATGTGGCCTCTTTGTCCTTCACATCAATTCATGTCTGTCCTCTGTGCACAGACACATTGTGCACAGACCTTGCGGAAGGAGATGGAAAGGCCGGGAGCTCAGAGCTTCTGAGGTAGGCGGTCCAGAGTCACTGGCAAAGACTCTGTGGAGCCCACTCACTGGTCTGCACTTTCTTCGAGCCTCATGCATTAGAGCACTCTGGAGCCAGGCTGTGGTGACCTCCAACCGTAAAACCATTTTTGTTGCTACTTCCTTCACAACTTTAATTTTGTTACTGTTATGAATTGTAAGGTAAATATCTGTGTTTTCTGATGGTCTCATAGGTGACGTGACCCCTGTGGAAGGGCCATTTGATACCCCCCTAAAAGGGGTTGCAACCCACAGGGTGAGAACTGATGTAAGAGTTTTTAGCGCTAGAAAGTTTAAATTGTCCATTTGACATAACTTTAAAAAAATCTTTGAAGAGAGGATCAGTGCTAGATCCTGGTCTGTAGTCATGGGGCACGATGGCCTGTAGTTATTATACATGAGAGAGTTGTGGCTTAATTGATTCATTGAGGTAGAAAGATCCACCCTGAACATGGGTGGCACCATTTTCTCGGACCATGAATGGTTTAAGAGTAGAAGGCCAGTGGAAGCAGGAGGCATTTCTGTCACTACTCTTGGGCGGGAAGTGACTAGTCGCTTTAAGTTCCTGCCTTGATGACTCTCTGTCACCTAAAATTGTAAGCCAAATAAACCCTCTCTCCCCTCAGATGCTTTTTGCCAAGATATTTAGCACAGATATGGAACAGCTCCAGGTAGAAGTGAATCTCCTAAGCCTCCTGCAAAGTTTGCCCTCACATATGGCTGGGGAGATGGCTCTATGGTTAAGAACATTGAGCGCTCTTCTAGGGAACCCAGGTTCAATTCCCAGCACCCACATGACAGCTTACAACTGTCTGTAACTCCAGTTCTAGGGAACCCAACACCCTCACACAGTTCGACATGCAGGTAAAACATCAATGCACACAAAATAAGTAAGTTTGTTTTTTTGTTTTTGTTTTTTGTTTTTGTTTTTTCAGACAGGGTTTCTTTGTGGCTTTGGAGGCTAACTCTTGTAGACCAGGCTGGTCTCAAACTCACAGAGATCCACTTACCTCTGCCTCCCGAGGGCTGGGATTAAAGGCTGTGCCGCTACTCCCTGACTTTTTTTTTTTTAAGTTGGTCCTCACACACTATTCTTGGAATCAGGAATGTAGCTTTTCATTTTGCTTCAGGCAGGGTTTCATTATGTAGCCAGGCTGGCTTCAAACCTGAGGTAGAGCCCTTTTGCCTCAATTTTTCAAGTGCTCAGAGTTATAGCCATGTGTAACCATGCCCAGCCAAAAGATACTTCTTGTAGATGGTTGTGAGCCACCATGTGGTTGCTGGGAATTGACTCAGGACCTCTGGAAGAGCAGGCAGTGCTCTTAACCTCTGAGCCATCTCTCCAGCCCCCCAAAAGATACTTCTTTATCACTCATATTCCTGCCCCTTTACGCCATTGCCCTCCCTATGTAGGCTGTCACCTTCTCTGAGAAACTCCTGTCAACACAAAATGGGTAGTGTAGGGAAAAGGGACCAGTCAAAGAAACACACCCTGAGCAGAGCCAAAGAAACACACTTTGGCCCTGCAACCAGAACTAAAGAAATGCACCCTGACCCTGAAACCAGTGCCAGAGGAACACACTTTGTCCCTGGAATCTGAGTCAGTGAAAGAAATGCACCCTGACCCTAAAATTGGAGCCAAAAGGCTAAAAAGGACCAGAGAAAGAAACACACTTTGGCCCTGAAACCAGAGCCAAGTCTGACCTTAATCCTGTGCAGAAAAGTAACCAATCCAGCAGAGCTCTAGCCAATCTGAGCTCAGCACTGAAATTGGACCAATCCCTACTCTGGAAAAACTTCCCCAACCCCAAGAATCCCTATATAAACCCTGTGTATGTTCAGCTTGGCTGGTCCAGATGCCTTCCAATAAACCCCTGAGCTTTGGGTGAAGATCTTTTGTGGCGGCGACAGAGCAGAAGGGACCCTGGGCAGAGCAGAGCAAGCAGGGCTGTAACTCTTGCCCGGGAAACCTTCCCTTGGCAGAGCTGAGTTGTTACACTCCGCTCTCGGCTCCCCCAGAGCAGAGCTGAACTGTAGCAACTTCAGCAGAGAAACCTCCTGCAGAGCAAAACTGCTACATAGGGTGAACATCCCCAGCTGGAAGACCCTGTCCTGCCAGAGCCGAGCCTTTCTCTGAGGCAAGGCTGTAAGCTGCTAAACTTACTACAACCTGTGGTGGTCCTTGGCTCCCAAGCTCCAGGATACCTTTCCATCTGAGCTGTGTAACACTCAGTATTCTGTGACTCCCGAGTGCCAAAATACCTGACCCACCCCCATCCCCATCCAGCCTGAAATACCTACAGGTAGAGGACCCTTTCAAGAACCCTTGCCAGCCAAGTTGAACCCTCAGATCTCCAGCACACTGTATTGTCATGTACAATGAATGACACTTATTCCTGGCCTCAGCCTCTTCCTTCTAGACCGTAAGTACCAGAGGGTGATAACTGACTTTAGCATGCCCGCAGTTAGAGAATTCAGCACATAGCTTGGCAAGAATAGGTAGCAAGAAGGAAGTCACTAACTGCTGGGCAGTGGTGGCATACACCTTTAATCCCAGCACTTGGGAGGCAGAGGCAAGCAGATCTCTGTGAGTTTGATTCTAGCCTGGTCTACAGAGTAAGTTACAGGGCAGGACTGTTTTACATAGAAACTCTGACTTCAGACTGCTATGGAGTGAATCTATTGGAGTCCTGGCCCCAGGACCTTAGGATGATTGCAGATATAATCATTTTAGAGGAGGTCAAATGGGGAGGGTGGACCTCTAACATGATATGAGTGACATCCTTAAAGAAGGATCTGAGTAGAAAAAGGGAAGTCATTTGAGGAAAATGCCGCCAGATAATAGAGGCTAGGATGAAAACACAAGCCAAGGGCACTAAGCATTACCAGTTGCCCACAGAGGTAGGAGAAAGCTGTAAAAAACGCTCTCCCTCCTGCCCTCAAGGGGCTACCTCCCTCAGACACCCTGGCTTCAGATTTCCAGCCCCCAGAATGATGAAAGCTGAATTTCTGGTTTTTGAATTTTGCGACTGGAGGTACTTTGTTACAGTGTCTCTAGGGAATTAATTAATAATACTCCCTGTACACACCCCACAGAAAACCCAGTTCCTTCTCTTACCACATTGTTTCCCTGAGATTCTCCCTTTCTTCCTTAGTTCCTTTCTACTGCCAGAGACTTAGTCGTTGTTCTTCTGTGTTGCGTAACTTGAGATGCAAATGAGATGAAGGAGATTGGCATCTGAGTGCGGTCCTAATGGAATATACATATTATACAATGTACGTAAACGTTATTAGGATTAGGGGTGTATGTGTGCATGGTGGAGGGTCACACATGTGTTATGGTAGCTTCGTCAAGGTCAGAAGACAGCTTTGGGGGTCAGTTTGCTCCTTCCACCATGGGATCTGGGGACTGAACAGAGGCTGACAGGTTTATGCATAGCAAGACCCTTTTTTCTTTTCCTTTTTCTTCTTATAAAATGGGAACTATATATATATATATATATATATATATATATATATATATATATAATTTAAAGTTATATTTAGGATGCTACCAGACTTCAAATCCTGTAAGAAGTAGGTTTTTGTTTTTGTATTTATGTAAAAATAATTGTGGTCAGGTGGTGGTACACACGTTTAATGCCAGCAGAGACAGAGGTATGTGGATCTCTGAGAGTCTGAGGCCAGCCTGGTCTGTGGAGTGAGTTCCAGGACAGCTAGGACGGTTACACAGAGAAACCCTTCTTGAGAAACCTAAGGGGAAAAAAAAGAAAAATTGTGAATGGGGATGTAGTATTCGTATACGTATGTGGATGGATGTGTGTGTGGGGGGTGTTTGTGTATGTGGTGGTATGTGTTCATGTGTGTGAGAGTACAGGTGTGCACGTACTACAGCACTCACATGTGTCAGAGGACAACGTCTGGTGTCAGCACACACTTTCTATCTAGTTTTGAGACACAGTCTCTTGTTTGCATTCTCCAAGGTTGACTGCCTTTTGAGATTCCAGCTTTGCAGGACTCTCATCTTATGTGAGTTCAGGGGTACAGAGGCATGTTATCAAGTCTGGCTTTGTATGGGGGGATCCAAACTCGGGCCCTCATCATTGTATCACAAGGCCTTTACATCCTAAGCCTTCTACGCAGCCTTCAGAATTCATTTTCAATGACCAGGAGACCTCAAAAAATGTTCCACAATAAGACAGTCTGAGCAACTGGGCATGAAGGCAGATCCTCTGTCTTCCTGTTCCAAAAAGGATTTCCCAGCCTCCCGGAGTGGGCTGGTGCCAGGACAGGGGACCCCCCAGTGCTGAAACGACAGGAAACTGGGTGGTATAATCTATCGTCCACTCCACAAAAGACAGGAAATCCAGAGCCAAAGGTTGAAAATCTGACCTCAGCTCACCCGGGCTTTGTGTCGGGGCCCCTGTGAAAGACCAGCACAAAGGCTGTGAAAGAAGCGATTTGGGCTTGGCCCCGGGGCAGGAAGAGATAGTCCCAGATGGAGCCACCAGCTCCAAATAGCTGGACAGAGGCCTGTCCATCCACCCTGAGACAGTGTCTAAGAAAGGCCCTCTCTGGGAAAGGTGCACACAAGGCTCTCTAGAAATGTCCATCTAGGTCTGTTTCAGCCCATCCAGTTCCTGGGCTCAAGGGCAGAAGGGGAGAAGGAGAAGGGAAAAGGAGAAGACTGCTAAGCTCTAAGAGGGGCTAGAAAATCTGCCTTGGAATATCTCTACCTGCGTCAGGAGAAGCTTATGCAAATTGAGCTAATAGCTAGTAAAGACCCATTACATTTGGTAGTATTTGCAATTTACGTTAGGTCCTTTATTTCATTTACTCCTGTGAGGTTACTCCTGTGTTAGGAAGGGTGAGAACCACTGCTTTAGAAGGAGGGAAATTTCTATCCACTGGGTTACCTAGGGACCAATTCCCTCTCACATTTTCTCTTCCCTGCTTCTCCTCCTCCTCCCCCTCCTCCTCCTCCTCCTCTCCCTCCTCCTCCCCTTTCTGCTGTTCTTGCTTTCTCTGTGGTCCGGGTATGGAACTGAGACCCTGCAGACCAGCTCTGCGCCACTGAGCTCCAGCCGCCGCCCTTTTCCTTTGTTCATCACTGTCCCACCGCCTAAGCTATCCCCAGTCCCACTATGCTGGCCTCAGGTCTGGCCAGATGCTTTTCTCGGTCCCCAGTAGCCCATTTCCCAAGGGAATGGGGGCTGAAACAGCAGCCCGCCGAAGTTGGATGTGCTGTTTCAGGCTCTTTTTTGGAGCTGTGAATGATGACTCATTCCACACGTGAAAATAAGTGGCGTGTCTACCTGGAAATAGACGGTGTTCTGCCTAATGGAGAGGTTGTGTTCTGGGAGCAGTGTGTCAGGGCAGAGGAGCAGAGTGGCCTCTACACCTATCCCCCAAGAAAGTCAGGTGCCTCTGTTCTGGGTAAGCCTTCTCCAAGAATTGTTCACCAAAGTTACAAAGTCGCCATTGTGGAGTGGGAAACAAACCATTTTATTCAGAAGCGTGTTTAATCCGCCCCTGGGTGGGGAGTTGGGATTTACCACAGCGAGGAGGGTCTGGTGGGCATTGCACAATCCATTCTAAACTGAACCTGGGCTCCTTTGGAGAAGCATCACGTGATCTTAACCACCGCTCTCGCTGTCTCCGCCAGGTCCCACGCATTGGCTACATTTCTGAACATGGTGGAGGCGGACTGAAGATTGGATACATCTGAGTTTACCCCCTGGAGCAGAGTTGAGATCCTCTCCACAAAATTAGAACAACAGGATCAGGTATGAAACATAACATTTAAGAAATACGGAACACACAAAACCGTTTATAGGACTGGAGGTGGGGTATGGTTGGGGGTAGAGCTCCTCCCTAGCGTGAGGATAGACTGTTTTCTACACCCGGCACATTAAAAGCACAAACGCCGAACCATACAATTATCACAAGACCCAGGAAATCTGCGATGGGTTTATTTACTTGTTTGGTGTGTGGGGTGGGGGTGGTGAATGTGGGTATGTAGAGATCCACCTCAGGGGTCCTTCCTCAGGAGCAATCACACAAGACAGGATCTCTCACATGATTTGGAGATGGGCCAGTCTGCTAAACTGGCTGGCCTGGCCACCGAACCCCCAGGATCTCCTTGTCTGCACTTACCCAGAGCTGTGATAACAAGCGCATGCCACCACATCTAGCTTCTTATACGGGTCTAGGATTCAGACTCAGGCACCCAAGCCTAGCCAAAAGAGCTAGCTTGCCAACTCTGTTTTTATTATATGTATTTTTTTTCTAAGTATGTGTATGTGTCTATGTGTGCTGTGTGTCTCCTATACTGGGCATTGAACCTATTTTTTTGCTAGGCAAGTGCTCTACCATTTTGAGATACTCCAACCTTTTAAAATACATACATACATACATACATACATACATACATACATACAGTAAGGGGAGGAGGGAGGAAGAGAGAGAGAGAGAGAGAGAGAGAGAGAGAGAGAGAGAGAGAGAGAGAGAGAGAGAGAGAGAGAGAGAGATTATGTTTCAGTGAATTCCCCTGGTTGATCTTGATTTTATACTCTCCTGCCTCAGCCCTCTGAGTAGCTGGAATTACATGCCTTCCCGGTTAGTTGAGGGTTTTACTAATCGGTCGAGATGTATCTTTTTCATTTGTTTGTTTAACTCTTTTGAGATATATTCTATGTACACAAACCAGGCTGGTATCACACTAGCAGCAAATTCTCCTGCCTCTGCTCTCTGCTTCCTTCATGCTGAATTTGCAGGTGTGTATGTAATCATGCCCAGCTGTATGACATCTGTCTCATAACACTTCTTACATTTGGGGGCACGCCTCTTTAAATGACAACAATTCTGTAATAATAGTCCCCGTAGAGGCTGGAAAGGAAATGCAATCTTTTCTCAAGTACAAAATAGATAATCTTTCTTGAGTAAAATATGTACTTTACAAAAGTGTTTAGCAATTGTGATTTTTGGAAGAACCTCTCCCAAGTGTCTTTGCTGGAATAGCTGTTAGATTTCAAGGTGTTCTTGTACTGTGGTTAATTTCAAATACTTGAGGTTGCTAACTCTCATTAAAAAGTTTGCCACTGGTATCATTTTTGTGGTGTGATGAAAGCTTGAGATTCTCTATGGATATCGACATTTCATATAAATTTTTCATCCAGCAAAAAAGCTGGTGACTCATGCACCTGTGCCCGGGGGTAACCAGGTGTGGTGGTTTGAAAGAAAATGGGCCTCCAAGGGAGCGGCACTATTAGGAGGTGTGGCTTTGCTGGAGTAGGTGTGGCCTTGTTGGAGGAAGTGTGTCACGGTGGGGGTGGGCTTTGAAGTATCCTTTGCTCAAGCTATACCCAGTGTAGCAGTCAGTCCATTTGCTGTTGCCTTCTGATCAAGATAGAGCCAGCACCATGTCTGCCTGCATGCCGCCATGCTGATAATGGATAAACCTCTGAAACTGTAAACAAGCCACCCCAAATAATTTTTTTCCTTTATAAGAGTTGCTGTGGTCATGGTGTCTCTTCACAGCAATAGAAACCCTAAATAAGATACCACGTGTGGTTAAAATCACTTCTATTATTATTATTGTTATTATTACTATTATTATTATTATTATTATTATTATGCTTTTTGAGACAGGGTTTCTTTATGTATCTCCAACCTGGAATTTAAGCATTTGGGCAGGTATGGATTATGGCACTCGGGAGCCCAAGGATACTGAGTGTTACAGCTCTGGTGGAAAGGTATTCTGGCACTTGGGAGCCAAGGAATACCACAGGTCACAGTAAGCTTAGCAGCGTACAGCCCTGCTTCAGGGAAAGGCTTCCCTAGTGTATCAGCTCTGCTCCCACAGGAGAGGATTTTCCTGGCGAAGTTGTTACAGTTCAGCTCAAGATTCCCGGCAGAGTGTAACAACTTCAGTTTTCCAGGGGAAGGTTTACCCCAGCCAAAAGTGCTACAGTCCTGCTCTGCTCCAGCAAAAGAAGGTCTCACCCAAACCTCTTTCAAGAGAATTATTGAGGGGAGAGAAGAATCCAGAACAGTGGCTGCCCTCTGCCAGGGTGGCAAGAGGACAGCCAGGCAGCCTGAATAACAAGCTGAACAGGCACAGGGTTCTTAGGGGGTAGAGTTTTCCAGGTTGGGGATTGGTCAGATTTCAATCCCTGAGCTTAGGATGGCTAGATCTCCTGCTTAGGGATTGGCTAGTTTTCTGCACAGGGTTAGGGTCAGATTTGGCTCTGGTTTCAGGACCAAAGTGTGTTTCTTTCTCTGGGCTTTTTTAGCCTTTTGGCTCTAGTTTTAGGGCCAGGGTGTATTTCTTTCACTGACATTGATTCCAGGGACAAAGTGTGTTTCTTTGGCTGGTCCCTTTTCCCTCCAGCCAGGACTATGTCTGCCTGCATGCTGCCATGTTCACAGCCATGTTGATAATGGACTAAACCTCTGAAACTGTAAACAACCCATCCCAATTAAATGTTTTCCTTTTCCTCTATTGCTGTCTCTTCACAGCAATAGAAACCCTAACAAAGATACCAGGTATGGTTAAAATCACTTCTATTATTATTATTATTATTATTATTATTATTATCATCATCATCATCATTTTATGCTTTTTGAGACAGGGTTTCTCCTAGGAAGAGTCAACTACAGTCCTCTGCTCTATCAGCTGAGCTATCGAAGGGACATGGAGACAGGGTTTCTCTATGTATCTCCATCCTGGAACTAACTCTGTAGACCAGGGTGGACTCGAACTCACAGAGATTTACCGGCCTTTGCCTCCCGAGTGCTGAAATTAAAGGCATGCACCACCACTGTTCCGCTTATTATTTATTAAATACTGGGTCTTTTGTAGTCTAGAATGACTTTGAACTAGATGAAGATGGCCTTGAACTCCTGCTTCTCCTTCTTCTGCCTCCCAAGTGCTGAGATTCTAGGCACCTCCTGGCATCCTTTAACTTGTGATCTCCCTGCTTCCACTTGTATAGTTCTGGGATTCTAGGCATGCTCCACCATGCCCAACTTGTTTTGCCTTTTTGTAACAAGGTCTTGCTATCTAGTCCTGGCTAGTCTTGAACTGTCAGTCCTCCTGCCTCCGTGTCCCATGTTCTGAGATGCAGGAAACAAACCATCACACCTGGTATATTGCTTCCTTCTGGGAGGATTATAACACAGGTAAGCCCATTGCTGGGTCCTTGGGAAGAGGTTGGAGAGTAAGGACTCTAAACTTAATTTATTAATTATAGAGAATCTACTCTGCTTAAGGAAGACATTGGCCAGCTATTGTTAGTCACTTATTTTCTTTCCAGTCCTTATTATACCCCTTTGAGGGACAGTGTAGTCAGTCCTCAGTATATGTGGGTGCCGTATCATGGACTCATTACTCACTGATCAAAAACAGTAAGGTGCCAGGGCTGAACATGTACTGCCTGACACCCTTGTCTCTGAACATGCGAAGGCTAACAACCCCTTACACAGCCTTTGTGTCAGTGCTGTGGTTTGAATCTGGCCCCTGACATGTGCAAGACTTTAATCTCCACTTCCAGCTATTAAGAAATGGGACATTTGCAGGAAGGATATTTAGAGGTAGAGTGTTTAGAAAGTGATTAGGATTAGGGTAAGTCAGTAGCCTGGGATTTTCATGATGGAATCCTGCTGGCTTTATAACAGGAGGGAAACACGAGGCACAAGTCACGTTTCATGTCTCTTACCATGGGATGCTCTAGTCTGCCTCTGGATTCTGCCATCAAGCAGCCTATCACCAGATTCGGGCCTTTGATTTTACACTCTAGAACCTCTTTTCTTTGCAGTGAAGCCTGCCTCCTGTATTTTGTTGTAGCTATGCAAAGCTCATGAGTGAGTATCGTTAAGTATCATAGGCATGTTTTCAAGTATGTGGGAGGATGTGCATAGGATGTGTGCAAATTGTGTGTGCGTGTGTGTGTGTGTGTGTGTGTGTGTGTGTGTGTGTGTGTGTGTGTGTGTTTAAAGGGAATAGGAATTTATTTTGACTCACAGTCCAGAGGTTATAGTTAATCATGATGGGGAAGGCATGGTGGCCCAACAAATTCCTATCCATGGCGGTGAGAGCATGAAACAGAATGTGCCCATCTCGGTGAAGCAAAGATTCACACATTCAGGAAGCAGAGGGCCTGTGCCGTCTTATATGAAGTACTTTATGTGCAAAGTTTCCATTATCTGCAGAGTGTCCCGGAACTGTTCCCCTATGGCCATGAAGGGATGGTTATGTAGGACAGAAAGAGTGTCTTTTGTCACTGGCCCACAGATTAGCACTTCCTTTTCCTGTCCCTTGGTTTTCCTTTCAACATCACTCCCCAGCTTCCCCATTTTTGCCTCCACTGATCTCTTCTGGATGGAGGCTGTCACTTATTTCCTGTTCCTGTTCCCAGGTCCCATTGGCCATCTCACATTTAGTACCTGGTTGTCCTAATGCCACTTACCTCTACCCAGTCATCTTCACTGGCCAAGTTTGATCTAACTTCAAGGGTTCACTCGCGCATTTCTTACCTTAGTCCAAAGTTTTGTTTCTCCAGTTTGTGTCCTTTCTAATGCATATTGTTGCCACTCTAATGACTTTTTTTTTCATCCCTGTATTCTGGACTCCTGGGAGTACTGGGGTCCCACATGGAGCACCTCTGGTTCCGTGGAGCATCCTCTTTGAGAAGATTTTCACATCCCAGCATCATGCCTCATCTAAAACGATTTTTCCCTCTAAGTAACCCGCAGCCAATTAGGATTCGTCGGATAAATATTTACAGGGCAGTTCCTTCCCAATACACATTGCGGATTATACCAGTGCCTGTGCCTAAATAAACACAGAGGAGGAATGGGAGGCTTTTAAGGGTTCACTTCGACTTAAAATGAGATTATAAATAATTCTAAAAAGCCCTGCAACTTTATGACAGGGAGCTGGAAGAGCAATTGGAAAGGAGGAAGGAAACGAAATAAAACCCAACCCTGGGATGAAAGCATACTCCCCGACATCCTTGTGACCCTTCCCCTGCACAATTAGAAACTGATACAACAGGAAAGACATGCTCACTTATGGACCTCCAGATTCCTTTAAAACTGTCCCTCTGCTAAGCCTGGAACAGAGGAAATACTACCCCGGTGCAGTGCTCAGTGGGCTCTTCTGTGGAGGGGGCTGGGTAGGCTTGGGATTCACCAGGGCTAGGAGGGAAGACGGAATTCCCTTCACGAGGCCCCTCAGTTGCAAATTGATGTACATACTGCTTTTGTGCGGTATGTGCAGAAGGCTACGCGTGTTTGAGTGTGTATTGCACACCTGTGCATATGCTGGGGCGGAGTAAGAGGGCAACTTCTGCCTGTCATCTCTTAGGTGCCCTGTACCTTGCTTTTAGAGATACGGCCTCTTCTTCATCTGGAACTCAGCAAGTAGGCTAGACTGGCTGGCCAGAGTCCCGGGGATCCACCTTTTCTGTCTCTCCAGCAACTGGATGACAAATATATACTTCTGGAGAGATGGGTTAGCATTTAACAGCGTGTACTGTATTTGCAGAGGACCAAAGTTGGGCTCCCAGCACTGATATCAGGCAGCTCACAATCACCTGGAACTCCAGAACCTAGAATACTTGATGTTTCAGATTTTCACAGGCACCTACACTCATGTACAAATTGCCACATCTGTACATATTAGCAAAAATAATGAAAACAGCCGGGTGGTGTGGTGGTGCATGGCTTTAATCCCAGCACTCAGGAGGCAGAGGCAGGCGGATCTCTGTTCTAGGTCAGCTTGATCCACAAAGTGAGTTCCAGCCTCAACCAGAGCTATAGCCAGAGGAACCCTGTTTTGAAAAAAGAAAAAGAAATATTGAAAACAATTTTTTGTTGTTGTTGATTAGTTTTTTGAGACAGGGTTTCTCTGTGTAGCTCTGCCTGTCCTGGAACTTGCTCCTTAGACCAGGCTGGCCTCGAACTCACAGAGACCTACCTGCCTCTGCCTCCTGAGTGCTGAGATTAAAGATGTGCAGCACCACCACCTTGCAAAGAAACAAATCTATCTTTAAAAAGAGTTCAGTGGTAGCATGGATTAGGACTTTGGTTCAATCCCAAGCAATGGAAAAAAATTGCCAACAGAAAGATCAGAGGGGGCTCCACCCTATGAAAAATGGAGACACCTTGCCTTTGCATGTTCCTGGATGGCTTTGTCAGAGGAGAGCGTCTTGAGTTGGGAATTCTGTTTGGGTCATCTCCTAGATTGGACACTTCCTGACTTCCACGTCCTGTACAATGTCTGCATCATGTGGTCTCTAGGTTCCTAATTAAAGCTCTCAGACTTCCTGCACACACTTTTCTTCTCACTGAATCTGCTAGACTTGGGTCACCCCAAGGCCCTGGCACCCCCTCACCCCTACAACTAGTCAGGTACTGAGGATTGCTGTCACACAGGCAAGGCAGGGCAGGTGAGAAAGACATGTCTGGCCGTTCCCAGGGCATCCCAGAGATGCTCCAGGTGCTGTTTTTCTCCAGGCTCTGCTTTCTCTCAGGAGGAACTACAGGCTGAGTTAGACGTCCACATTTGCCAAGGGCAATAATAACAGGATGTCTTCTTAAAGGGGATGTCTCCACTGGGTCCCTCCCCTCGGAAGATTGGGGAGCCCCATGGAGAGGGAGAGAAAAGATTGTAAGAGTCAGAGAGGTTAGAGAACCACCAGGAGAGCGTGGCCCACTGAATCATCTAAACAGGGCTCCTATCAGCTGGCAAAGACTGAAGCCGTAAGCACAGGGCCTGTATGGGGCTGTACCAGATCCTCTGTGTATCTGCTATGGCTGTTAACTTGGTGTTTTCGTGGGACTCCTAACAGTGGGAGCGGGTGTAACTCTTATTCTTTTGCCTGCTCTTGAACTCTGTTCCTCCTATTGGGTTGCCTTGTCTAGCCTGTATATGAGGGCTTTTGCCTTGTCTTACTGTATCTTGCTTTGTCCAGTTGGAGGCCTGCTCTTTTCTGAAGGAGTGCAGTGGATCTAGGGGAGAGGGGAGCTTGGAGGAGCGGGGTGGGGGAGGGAAACTGTGGTCAGGATGCATTGTGTGAGGGAATGTATTATATTTTCAATTTAAAGATTATTTTATTATTATCATTATTATGTTATTACTTTCCAGGCGTGAGCATGTGCACAGGCGGAGAACAAAGGTCAGAGGACAACTTGGAGGATTTGGTTTTCACCTTCTGTCTTTTACCGTCTCTTGTTTGTACTGTTGTGCTGCAAACTCAAGACTGGTTGGCCCATGAGCAGTCAGGTAATTCTCCTGTCTCGTCTCACATCTTACCAGAGAAGTGGCTGGGATTGCAGATATGCACCGCCACATCTGCCTTTTTTTTTTTAAAGATTTATTTGATTATTATGAACACAACATCTTGCCTTCATGTATGTCTGCATGCCAGAAGAGGACACCAGATCTCATTGTAGATGGTTGTGAGCAACCATGTGGTTGCTGGGAATTGAACTCAGGACCTTAGGAAGGGCAGTCAGTGCTCTTAACCTCTGAGCCATCTCTCCAGCCCACATCTGCCTTTTCTAAGGGCTCAGGAGAGCAAACTCAGGCTGTCAAGCTCACCCAGCAAGCTTCCTTCACCTGTTGAGCCACGCCCGCCTTACTAATAAGACTTCCTGTCTGCCTCCAGCACTGACTTGCTTCTCGTTCCCTGGCCCTCTCCATCGATACCCTGAAGCTTCCATTCTTCTCCGCTGTGTCATCTCAGCACGACTGTCCATTCGCACGCCCTGTGTGTTGTCCTAAGTCTTAGTATCCCTTTGATCATCTAAGTTTCTGCTTTCGGAGCAATAACTCCCAGGACACCTGCTTGGGGGTGTTCTTGCCATTTCCCAGATGTTGGGTGGAAGATGTTTATGGAGACCTGCAACTGCACCTTATCCTTCACTTGACTGAAGAGCAGCCATTTTCAAAGTTCTTTTCTTCTTCTTCTTCTTCTTTTTTTTTTTTCTGAGACAGAGTTTATCTGTGTAACAGCCCTGTCTGTCCTGGAACTCACTTTGTAGACCAGGCTGGCTTCTGCCTCCCGATTGCTGGGATTAAAGGTGTGTACCACTACCACCTGACTGGTAAATTTTATGTTATACATACTCCACCACAATTAAAATTCAAACTCTGCCTGGGAGTGGTAGGTAGTATGTGCCTTTAATCTTGGGAGGCAGAAGCAGGCAGATTCTTGTGAGTTCAGGGTCAGCGTGGGATATAGTACACTAAGACCTGATCTCCAAACCAAAACAAAGGAGGGTAAAACCTATCCCCTCTCTCACTGCTGTGGCCAGCACTCAGAGGCACTGTATTATTCGTCACTGCAGAAACCTCTAGTGAAAGGTTGGCAAGATGGTTCAAAGGGTAAAGGCAATTGCTACTCAGCTATGCAAACCTGATGACCTGATTCGATCTCTGAAATCTAAGTAAATGTGGAAGAAAAAAGGGGGGCTCACTTATTATTTATTAATGGACGCTAACAGGGCATGGAGGCTTCTGGTCTCATCTGCTCCTTTAGGGGAACCTATTTGATTAGGGTCCATTAGTATGCTAGAGACTGGAGGGAGGGTAGGACCAGCATGCTCAGATATTTAAAACTTCCTGCAGCTTCCAGTTTTGCCTGGAAGTCATTGAAATTCCCACACAGTACAATGCCATACAAGGAAGAATAGGATAAAACCTGGGAAGAGCTAAAAACAATTCCAAGACTCCCAAGGAGTGAATAATCACACTGATGGAGCTTCAAGGAACGTTCTAAGAGTAAATGGGCCTAGAAAGATCTGGAACAATCCTGTTCCAGATTATTTTGTTTGTTTGTTTTGTTTTGTTTTTGTTTTTCTCTGTGTAACAGTCCTGGAACTTGATTTGTAGACCAGGCTGGCTTAGAACTTACTGAGATCAGCCTGCCTCTGCCTCTCAAGTGCTGGGACCACCAGGCTATTGGAGCAATTTTTAAATTATGTAGTGGTGTATGGTCACATGTCTGTTTGAATATGGGCATTCATGTCCAAAGTAGATGTCTGGAATCTTCCTTGTGTGTACACAGGTTTAGGTGTGTGTGTGTGTGTGTTTGTGTGTACTTATTTAGGTGCCCATGTGCCACTTCAAGAATGCTTCCATCTTATTTACCAAGACAAGCTTTCTCAGTTAAACCAAGAGCTTTACTAATATCCCTAGTCTGGCTAGTCATCTTGCTCCAAGGGTCCCATCCCCACTAGGAATCATGGGTGGGCGAACATAGGTTCTGAGTACTCAGATTCCAGTCCTCACACTTTCAAGAGAAGTGCTTTAACTACTGAACCATCTCCCCAGCCCCTGGGTGAGATGGGTCTTGCTATATGTAGCCCCACCTGACCTGATACTCAACTACGTAACCTAGGCTGGTTTAGAACTTGTGGCAATTCTCTGCTTGCAGAGATTACAGACACACATCATCACATATAGCTAAAATTCCCTCTTGTGTCTCAGGGGCTATTTGAAGGTGGCCTATTTGTCTTTCGTGAAGAAATTTGTATCACATCGTCAAGCCACAAATTACACATCTTTTGTGGACTCTCCTGGGAAAACAGGGAGCGCTGTCTGGGAACTTTGGTAAATTAGATAGAAATTTGTCCTGTGGATGTGTGAAGTCACTTTTCAACGGAGGATTGAAGGGAACTGCCAAGTCTTTCTTCTAGAAACAAATGGTGAGATCACTCTGTTTTCTGTAACACAAACCCTCTGCAAAAAATAGAGTCCTCTCCTGCTCATTATCTTGTCATTAAAACCTCTGGCTTGGTGCATTTCCCTATAAAATAAACCTGAGACCTCATTCATATGGAGGGAAATGCAAAGTCCGCTCTACTGCGCATAAAAGCGCCCAGTGTAAAGAGAGCTTTCTCCGCCTCTCCAGTTTGATGATGGGATCTCGTGGCCAGACAACATTTTTTGACTGGTAAGTGCAGAAACCACCCTCTTGAGTTACTGTTGAGTGAATGGGGGCCTTTGTTTCCCCCCAAAGAATTAAAAACCTATGGGCCTCCCCCACGCAAGCAGGAATAGGTTTCACACAGCGGTGTTGGGATTAAATGACTTTATCATGAAGAAAGCCAGAACAATGTCTGCTCACATTTTAATCATTTACCAGACATTCCAGTTTCACTATAAGTTTTACCCACAGCTAGATGACTCGGTCAAGAATGACTTGCTCTAGCATTCTCGTTCTGTGAGATCTTTTCCACATGAAAATAAAGGAAAGTGCTCCACCATGGGAATCCAAAGAGGGGATCCGGAGTCTGCAAGGCAGAGGGGGCTCCTGGATGGCTCTAGAGTGTGTGGTCCTACTCCATCATCCTGCAAGTAGCAAAGTTAGGCTGAGAGAGGAGCAACCTGCCCAGGATGGCACCCAGGGCCAGAGGCACACAGAGATCAGAAAGCTGCTGGCTTCTGGCAACTCCAGGTTGGCATTTTTTTCAGCTGCTGGTTTTGACATTTTCAACCTCAAAACAATATTCCTTTTGCACTTCGGCAAAGGATGCCTGCTCAGTTGTTGTTATTGTTTTTGAGTCAAGGTCTCGTGTAGCCTAGGCTGGCCTCAAACTCCTTAATGTAGTCAAAGATGCTCTTTTAAATAATTTAATTCCTTTTTAGAAGTCATTTAGTGTGTGTGTGTGTGTGTGTGTGTGTGTGTGTGTGTGGTCAGAGGACAACTTTCAGAGTTTGAGTTATGAGTTCAGGGGATTAAACTCAAGCTGTCAAGTTTGGTAACAAGCAACGTTACTCACTGAGTCATCTCCAGGACTCCAATCATTAACTTCTTAGCCTCTTGCTTCCCATGCTAAGATTACAGGCAGGGCCATCATGCTCAGCTCATTGTTTACTGATGAGCCCAGGGCTTCGTGGACTCTAGCTAGCTAAGCACTCTGCCAACTAAGCTACACGCCCTGTGTGCTATGTCTGCTTTCTATGGCTCCCCAGAAAGACTGTAGACTGTGGGATAGAAAACGTCCCTGAGTTCTTCACCCAGGCAGCACCAAGCTGGCATTTCTGTGTGCCTTTCCTTCCTCTATGGGATCTCTGTCAGTCTCTTGGACTCGTTAGCATAGCACAAGGAAATAGATGAGAGAGTGCTAAGTGGATGCAAAGCATAATTATGCTTGTGAAAACTGCTGCTTCGCTCAGTGTAAAACAGGGAAAATCAATGGAAAGGGGGATGAGCCACCCAGGAGGAGGCTGTGTTTACAGATACTGAGTCTCTTCCACCTGAAAACGGTCCTGTAGACAGAGACGCTGTCCATGGGTAGGTAGACACTGGAATCAAGATGGTACTCAAAAGGCAGGGACGGTGAGCTTCTCAGAGGTAACAGGGAGAAGGGCGTGACTACAAGAGCAACTGTGCAGACTTGATATGAGCAGAGTACACAGCACGGTGCTGTCACACACTGGCTGTGTGTCGCTGATGTATAGAATACATCTGTGCCCTGGCTTCCCTCTACATAATGGGCCCACTGAGTCTACTCTACATGCCCTTTGTGAACTGTGAAGCTGTACCTGTAGGTGATGAGGTTAGGGAGCAAGACACAGCCTGTGAGCAGTTACCTGTCTCACACCACCGCCCCACCCCAAAAAAGAAGAAATTCTTTATTCCAGCTGTCTGGGGCTACACTCAGGTATTCTGGACCCAAGCATAATACCAAATGTTTAGAATAAGGCTTTTGTTTTGTTTCTGTTCGAGAAAGAGTTTCTCTGTGTAACAACTCTGGCTGTCTTGGAACTCAGTTTGTATAATAGCTGGCCTCACACTCACAGAAATCCACCTGCCTCTGCCTCCACAGTGCTGGGATTAAAGGTGTGTGCTATCACCACCGGGCTTGGGTAAGGGGCTTTTAAAGGGGAGGCCCACATCCTGGTATGTCACTTGGCAGCTCCAGGGGAGGTTTGCCCATGTAGGCAATTTAACAGAAATTAAGGTAAGTAGCTGGGGCATCCTGACCTCGGGTTCTTAAAATAGAATTGGGTAATTTTCCACGGGATGCTCTGTCAAGGAGATCAGAGTCTGATTAAAGCTGAAATGGCCTGAGCAAGAATACAAGATGGAGGAAACTCCGCACTGTCTTGCCCTGTTACAGACGGCATGTAGCACTTTTGTTCAGGTGCTCACGCCCAGGCACACGAGTTTGGAGGACAGGAGATGTTGGGTGTTTTTCTCTCTTTTTCCTTTATCTTGTTCCCTTGTTCTTTCTAAACTTGGAGCTAGGTTGGAAACAGATCAACAAACCCCG